CAGCCCCAGACAGCCGTGCCCGGCCATCACCTGCCCAAGGGACCAGCACTGCCCCTGCCACCCCCGCTGGCAGCCCCCTCCCCAGCCACGCGAGCACCAGGCACTGGATCTGCCTGTGCCCCCAGCACCACAGGGCAAGGACAGCCCTAACCTCTGTCAGCATCTCCCTACAAGGCTTTGGGGTTCCCTCTTCTGCTCCAGTTTTGGGCTGCCAGGGAAGTCACCACCCCACGGGCCTGCCTGGATCTGGTGCCCCAGGGACCAAGACATAACATGGGGAGCCCCGGAAGGGCCCTGCTCAGGAAGGAGCTGCCTGAATTAGGCAGGGATGGGGTGACCTAGGCCACTGTTCCCTTCAAGAGAAACCCGTCCCCATGCTGGGTCTTACCCCCAGGTGTGGTGGAGTAGACGGTGCCACCCGGTGTGGAGCTGTAGCCCTTGGGGACGGGGAGGTGGTGGCTCCCCGGGATGGGGCAGGAGGAGGTGGCAGTGTCCACTGCGTTGCCCATTGCAGCCATGGGGCTCATGTGGGGAGGGAGGGGCCTTAGGCTCCTCCCCACCCCATTCCTCCACCCCAACTCACCCCAAGAGCAAGCACTGCTGGCTGTTTCCAGCACCATTACTGTTAACACCACTGGTGCTCCTTCGGCCTTTGCGCTATCACGGGTGGGGGGCAGCAGCAGTTTAAATTTTTTTGCATTTTTTCCTCAAATACTAGGAAAAATATCTGCCCGTATCGTCCCGCAGCATTCCTGAGGTTCACGTGCCTGTGCTACTCTGATACTGCCTGTGCACTCTTCTTCAGTGCTCCTTCCCCACGTGTTTCCTGGGGAAACTTGGCCAGGATTTGTCTGGGGAAGGCGGAGGGAGGCCAAGTCACCGGGGCCGTCAGATTGGGCACTTTGTGCCCTGCAGTCACTTGCTTGAGGAACAGACCTGATACTCGGTGCAGTCACTGAGCAAAGGCAGAAATAAGCACAGAAAGCAGAGAAGTCCTGCAGCCAGGCAGGCAGAGAGTGAGCGTTCACCTGGAGCAGCATGCAAAAATCTCCCCCTTCCTCACAGGAAGGGCTTGAGGAGCTCTCAGCAGATTTAAAGGGTTACAAGAAGCTTGCAATTGAATACATGACATTTTTCTCTAGTGGGAAATGGTCTCTGCTTTCCTAAGATGTGCTTTCTAGGCAGCTGGGTGGGTAGGTGCAGAAACCTCTGAGCTACCTATTTACCTCCTGCAAATTGAGATGCCATCAGATGCCGCTTTGTCAACTCGGCCCTGACTTCCAGCCCCTGAACAAAACCCCATCTCTCAGGCATCCCACCTGGAAAAATGAGCACTGGAACAGCAGAACTAACCCAGGAGGAGAAAACAAACACACAACCGTGTTCGGACACTAAACATGAAATAAAAGGCTACCAAGCAGCAGGGGGAAGGACTCAGCAGAGCTCCTATCGCAGCCGACCGCGCATCAAAACCCTCCCCCAAACCCTGACTGAATCCGTGACCCTGAGAAGATCCATCACCGGGCACCAGTAACAACAACATGCGGCCTCTTCCAAAATTCTCACACACAACCTAGAAATACTGTTCGCCTTTTATTGAGTATTCAGGTAAATATTTCACATTAATACAGGCTACATAAAGTAGAGCCACTAGACGACATGAAGTTTACTCAGCTTTTCCTTTTAAGTATGTAAACAACCATACATGTATTTACCACCCTAAAAGGTCGAGGGCATGTCACCAGCTAGCTCTCTGCTGCACACAAGGAGCGTTCAGCAGCGTTTAGCCAAAAGCACTATTTTAGTCTGATTTTTAAGTTCAAAATGGCTAAACTAACTGAAGAACAGAATCAGTTTGTATAGGTAAAATCACTTTGTTCTTCTACAACGGGCAATCGAGTTTCCATCATTACAGCCCACAGGAAATTGCTTAATTAGGCACATTAAAAAATCCCCAGGGTTCTTCAAGGTCATAAAGGTTCCCAAACAAGGCTAAAAAAAAAAAACCAACAACAAAGGATAGACCCCCTTAAATCAGTTGACGTACTTGAGATGCATGTTTCCAATGTGAGGTGCCCAGGTGCCAGGCCAAATCTACAGCAAGAAATAAAAAGACAAGTCTATTATGAGAACAAATACAGGTTCCTTTAACAGAGTTTAACCAGCAGAGGGCAAGCTTAAGGCTTCCCCCTAAAATGCAACCAGGCCATCCAAAATCTGGGAGCCCTCTTCAGCTCCGGCCGAGGTTTGACTGATAAAGCCTGCAAGATGCTGAGAACGGATACAAACCCTCTCGCTTACAACCAAGATCACCTGGCTCAGGAGTCTTGAAATGCCACTGATTTTACCTGAAAGGTTTGGATTGGATAGCGCCACGTATTTTTATAAACCCAGAGGGAAAAAGGGGGAAAAGTTAGGCAAATGATCTCAATTCTCGCGGTGAAGAACTGAAAAAGAAGAAGTCACCTATCCAAAACAAATCAAAGCACAACAGGGTAAAAACAGACAACAGGTAAATGATGGAGAACAAGGGTGGCCACGCTACCTGCTGAGCATCCGTACATTCTGCCGAGTTCTGGACAACTTTGATCATGGGGTTCCAGGCGGGGTCTGGAGTATGGAGCCCGTTAAAGAGGGGGCCTCCTGGGCCGTCCGCCAGCTGCGGGTGCGAGGGTATCAGGGTGCCGCCGTACATGGAAATTGGTAGGCCCTGATGAAACAAAAGAAAGCGCCAGCGGTGAAGTGGTTGAGGGATGGCTGTGGTACCACGTTGGCTGACACCCACACGTAACCTTCACCTGCTGGCAAACAGCTCAGCACGGCGAGGAAACGGGGCATTGCTGCACACCCAGGCAGAGCATGGACTGGGGTGACTCTTCAGAGCACAAGATTCAAGCCAGTTTTCCCATTCTTCTAAAATTACACCTCGCCAGCGCTCTCAGGTGACCCCATAAAGCAGACCCAGCAGCTGCACGGGGATCTCAGTGCTCTCTCCTCCCACCTCTGAGAACCTTGGTGCACGCAGGGCTGCGCCAGGGGTTGCATTTAGCAAAGGCTCCAGAGTTGAGCATTTTCTCTAAATGACTAATGGCCATCTAAAATACTCTCCCAGTTCAGAAAGAGCAAGTTCTTTTTGCAATTACGAGATCTCTTTCCCGTGTCTGAACGATTGCTGCTCTGCGATTTAGAAGATCCCAAGACACAGCTACAGCTGCTTCTGAGAGATGCTATGAGCAGCTCTGCTGCTGAGCAGTGTCCTGGACATTCCTCCAGTGGTGGCTGGGATACAAAGAAAGCAATTGGCCATTTTACAGACTAAATCCAACCCTCTGGAACTTACTTTAGAAAAATCCACAAAACTATTTGGCATAGGTTGGTGGAAAATATTCGAGGGAGCCACTATTCCAGAATCATCTCTCTCCATTGGCTGATGCTGAGAGAACGTGCCCGGGTCCGACAGCTGCTGATGCATCGGATGATTTCCTATGACAGGCTGAGACCAACCAGACAGGCCTTCTGCAAAGGGAGAGAATGAAACCAGCTGATTACAAGTGAGCTGAAGATCCTCTGGAGTTGAATTCAGCAGCTGCACACCCCTACGTACACCCAGAAGCTCCCTGAAAGCTCACAGCCACGGAGGTACCTTAGGGCTCTGCTCTGAGCAAAGGCTGTGCTTCTACTGCCTATGCAAAGTGGGAAGATACCTGCAGATTTTAGGTCAATAACCCATTACAGACAACGCCAGCACACGAGTCTTATCTGGAGCATCAAGGCCTTTCACAGGGAAGCTTCAGCAGGCACCAGCACATGAGGTTGGCCACACACACACTTTCTTTCCCTCCAGCTCTCACATCCTCTCATGTACCACAGAAATACAGAAAAAAAAGTTACACTTATGACAGGGACAGAAACAGGGAAAGAAGAGACTGGCGATGGCAGGAAGTCTGGCCAGAGATGTGCTGTCTGCACGCATGTTCATCCTGATCCTCCGGACATGTGTGGAGATAACGGGGACTATTGGTAACTGCACGTTTCAGGTGTCCTCAGCTAACAGCTAAGATCCCATCAAAAGCACTGTCTGTGAGCACATACAAGCTTCTCTTGAAAAAGCACAGCAATGCTGAGACGTTACGTTAACCAAAGTACGGAGGATTTCACTGAAAAAATATGAACAAATGAGGACTACTAAATGTTTGTCTTTAAAGTTGCCAATGGGAACACTTTACACCTCAAACGCTGCAGCTCCTCCTTTCCACAAGAACCTCAAACTGGACCCCTTGAACAGATAAAAGTTTAGGTTTTCCATTCTGTATCATCATTCTATAGACTTAATATGAAATTTCAGAACTGTTCTCGGGGTTTTCAATGATACAGGTTGGGGTGAGAATTGCCTACACGAGGAGAGAAAACCACAGCGCTTGCACCGATCCACACTCCCCCACCACTGACCCCAGTTCTCCCCTTCAGGGCGTGCTACGATAAAGCTCATTCCAGACTTCATTCCTCCTCCCCAACCTTATTTCCCCAGGCACAGCACTTACCAGACACACTGTTAACTCCGAAGGACCAAATGCCGCTGTGACCCACGGGAGCTGTGAAGTTGGTTCCCAGGGGCGTGGGAGTGACGGAGCCCCCCTGCCGAATTCGAGCGAGCCTCTCTGTCCCGATGGGAGGGGGAACCTTGCGATCTGGATTGGCGTTACCCGTTTTTGGCTGGCCCAAGTTAGAAGGTGCAGAAGCAGCTGAAAGGGGCGAAGATGATCCTGAGGAAACTGATGGGATAGGAGATTCACCTGCTGAAGAGAATATTTCTCTTGCTTAATCACACACAAAGCACACGAGCCAGCGAGCATAAACGCTACCCACTACCCCCGCAGTATTATCTCAAAGCAAATGATAAAAAGGGTTTAAAGGCTCTTTTTTGGCAAGCATTCTTCCAAGTCTTTCACAGCAATTCTTGCTTAGAGCTTATTTGAGCTCTAAATACCAACTTTATCTAAAATCCGTAAGACAAATGCTTTCAGCCATCAGAATCGTGTGGTATTCTCATGACAGAGCAGCACACCCAAATTAATTACAAGATAGAATAAGAAACATGGAAGAGTTTCAGGAAGAGGTGAAAGCATCAGCCAAAATGCCATCAATATCCAAACTGCCTGGTTTTGCTATCCACCCCTTCCAGCAGAAGAGAAACTCAGTGCCTCCCACAGCCCCGTGTGTAACGTCAGAGCGTGAACTGCCACCAACTCCAGGAGCGTCACTGACTCCGCTTGGGAAATCCAGCTTCCTTTGGGCAAACGTTTTGGTTCTTAGGCTCAGAGTGGCTGTGAAGTTGCATGCGGTGACATGAAAAGCCTCTTCCTTTCAGATTCTCAATCAAAGACCCAAAGCTACTTCCATGTTCTTCCCATTAGGAGCAAAACCCACTGTTACCTCGGATGATGCTTAAAAGATTTTGGAACGTTTTAAGTAACATGAAATAATTCCAGAATCCCAATTAACAAAGAAAACAAAAAATAATAATAATAATAATTAAAAAAAGCAAGTATAACTTCAAACCATAGCAAACATGACATTTTCACCTAATATTACACTCATACTGTTTAGAGGGGAATCTTTAGCTTGGTATAATCACCTCCGCTCCCCCAAAAGCTTCACGCCCTCTCCTCTCAGAGCCTACGACGACTGATTTTTTTGCCCAGATATGCCTTTAGTAAATGCTACCAGAACTAGCGGCATGTGACATGGGGAAAAAAACCACCAAGTAGCACAGCTTGGGATTCGCACGCCATCCTCACAGCTGCCAAAAGCAATTGGAAAGCATTTAGAGCATCACTGGGTAATTTCCCCCTCAAGTTACAAATCTACTCAAGACAATAGCTATGAATTTATAGTTAACTAAGACAGACCCATGAAGTTCCTACATGAATTTGTTGCGCTTGTCCAAGGATGTGGTGAAAAATGCTGTCTGTTAAAGCTGGGAGTCCCAACAGGCGCTGGCCCTTGAAGGTAAACCCGTGCTCCTTGTATGTTTGCTGAAAAGCCTGTCAAAGGACCTGAAGAAGAAGTTGTAGAGCTGTTGGATGGATCTAGAGAGGGTAAGCCTGAAATAAACATAAATTTGATTAAATATCTCTCTTTGGGAACCTGCTTCAAAGCACCAGAGAGAGTCAGTGCTCCAAATATACTTAAAGCATCTCATCACCTTCGGGGCTATCTGCACATGGAAAGTTCGTTTTACAGGTGCACGATTCTCCCTCAGAAACCAACAGAAGGCACTGCTGTACGCCCTCTGTTTTGGCCTGAAGTTTTTAACAGAAACAGCCGTCCCTTGGGTCACTGGAAGGAAACGATCTTAGCAGGGAGGGCAAAAGGAGGAAAGCTGGGAGTGGCAAGGATCTCTGCTTACAATAAAGCCACGCAAGTCAAACAGGGACACAGGGCTCTGAAAGTCCCAGGGGAATCCGGCCCCGGGGACGCAGTTTGCTGCAGTACATTTTTTTGCCATCCTACAGGTACATTCACGTATAGGTCGGTCAGAGCATGCTGCGTCCACAGGAACAGGGCTGCCGGTGCACAGCGCAACGGGCGAGGGGCCGCTTCCTACAGGGATGCGTGAGAGGAAGGGAGAGATGGAGAGAAAGTCCCACAGGAATTATTAGCGAGGGGGAATTACAGTTTTTAATAAGCCAAAGCTTTTAAGTACTTTTCCAGAATGTTGTAAAAGCTTTTAATCACACATTATTACCTGAAAGCAGAAACGGGCATGGCCGTACGTTCACCTGAGTTTTGGGTTTAGTTTCAAGGGCCTATTAAACAAGACTAGTTTCGAAACCGTTTAAAACATTTCAAAATGACCACAACCAGGACCAGCCTATATTGCTGCAGGGCAAGGTTGACGGTTGTACCTGCTTCCACCACAGCAGTGGAGACAGGCGATACCTCAGGTCACAGAGCAGGGCTGCACCTTTCATCGCCTGGACACGCTCCTGAAAGCCAAGTCTTCTTCCCCCCCAAATTATCCACCAAGTCAACCTGATTTACTGCTTCCACAAGTGCCAGATGCAGCCTGCTCACACTGACAGATGACCCACGGGACTTGAAGGAGGTGTTTTTCTCACTACCTCTACCCCAAAGGTTAAAATAGAGAAGCGTTCATTACTGCCAAGGAGAAATAAATCCCCTCCACCAACAAAACATAGGGTGTGGGAGGACAATCTTCCCATGGAGCCATGATGGGACCCTCCTGCTAACCCTCTGCCCACAGAAGACAACCCAGAGGCAGTCAAAAGGCCCCTGTGGTGACCGATACCACCACACATCAAACCAAGTCTCCAGTGGCTGACACAGCACCGAGGATCCTGTGTCTCGCCCCACGCAGAAGGGGTGGCAGAGCTGCTGCCCATGGGGACTGCTGCTTTCCTCCAGAGGGAACAAGGCAGAGATGATGACAAAAACAGCTCCTGTGCAGAAGAGATGCTGTGTCCTTTGAAGGCTTGGCAGGATGGGTACAGCCAAGACCGTGTCAGCACTGCTGGGTATTTTCTATGGGTTGAAGGAAGCGTGACAGCCAGAGATGCACAAATCCAAGAGCAGTCAGCTTCCAGGTTGTCAAGAACATTTTTTGTCATTATCTTGCCTTTCATAAAAGTGAATTAAAAAAAAAACCAAACCCCTTTGCTCGATATTAAAAATGGCTTCTATGAACAAAGACTCACAGAATCCTGATTTCAATAAAGAGCTTCCTGTTGATGTACTTACCCACAAGATCAGGTTTTGTAACACTACAACCTTCTGCAATACCACACTCTGCAGTTACTTGGGCCACGCATTCAAACTCTTCATGCTCTGAAAACACAACTGAGCTTTTGAGACTGGTGTACCAAGCTCACACGAATCCTGCTCAAAATTCAAAGTTTATCAAAGCCCCCAGGCACTTTTTCTGCAAGGGTTCCCTCTACCTTTAAAGAAACGGCCACAACACTTGGTCACTCCATGAAAACAGGGAGCCCAGTCATTTCATGCAACTTTCTACCCATGTGCTGCTTCCTAAGCTGGTGTATTTCATGTTAGTGATGCCTTTTAGTGCCCCGTGAGCGAGGTCTCAACCTCCTTCTTAAAATGCAAAGAAAAAAAAACCAGGTAGATTTCTTTTGGTCTTCTCCACAGCCTCCCCAAATGGTTAGGACTAAGTCTGCCCTCCAACTGCAGGCTGCCAGGACAAGAGATCTAAAGACACGAGTGAGGCAAAAGGCCCTTTCCAGAACAGATCCACATTCGTTGAGATCTGCCCGTGTGTGTCTGTGCCTCGACCAAACTGGTAAATCAGAGGAAACTCAAGCTGCAACTGAGCTCACCCATGAACAGCAAAAGCAGAGCACCCAAATTTGTCAGGGGAAAGCTGGTTTAGTGCATGACCAACGTAAATCTCCACCAGGTCAGCTCAGAGGTGGTCACCAAGAGATCAAGACAGGCACAAAGCCAAACCTCTGCTCCGTCAGGTGTGGATTCACAGCCAAGAGCGCAGCACTGGTGTCCCCCTGCTTGGACGGCCGTCTCTGCTCCCTCTCACCACGCTGAAGTGCACTGAATCTCCAGGCAAGGCCCGCACTGCTCCCTGCCCACCGTGCTGCTCTTGGCCAAGGTGGAAGCCAGCAGTGACAGGCCCTCTTCCTCCACTTCTCAAACATCTCATGAAACCTGCCACCAAACCCCATGGAAACAGCCAAGGCAGCCTCCAGTTTAATCTTGGAGACTGAGCTGAGAAGTCTGTTCCCCTGGGAAAAGCCAGTGAATGAGATGTGTGGACAGACCACAGGACCAGATTACACTCCAAGGGAAGGCATTGGAGAAATCCTCAGCCTACCACACCTTCAAAACATCCCCTTCTCCCCAGGTCCCCCTGACCAACCCCTTCTCCTGTAAGACAGACAATTTAGGTTCTGAAACAAAGGTGATCAAAAGCAGTATATTAAGTAGGACCACATTAAACGAATCAACTCAGGACCTGACTAACCACCAGTCACCTCCTGCCGGGCAGAATTTAAATGGCACATTATCTCTCTGCAGTTTTTCTTCACTCTGCACTACCTAATCAAATTCTACCTCACAAAACACGTGCTCTGTCCAAATATTTTTGTATTTCACACTTATCTCCCGAAAATCAACCACGTGAGCTCTCCTTGGGTATCTACCTGACCTTCCTAACTCAGGGAAGAAACAGATTCAGACTTAAACAGTCATTTAAGGAGAATTTTTTCCCAATGACAGATGACCTTAGCATAAGGGAACAGCAACATTTTTTGCTGCTACGCAAAGTCCCAGTCAGCCGTTCTCGTATATGCAGGATGCGATCATCAAAAGAAATCAGCAGATGCCATTTGCTTTCCCTTCCCCAGGGGTTTATTCGAGCACCAGCCAAGTCCTGGTTTAGGGCACTGCAGGGAAAAAGCTGAGCCAGTGCAAAGTGTTTCTGGAGTCTGCCGAGGGCCTGGCAGTGCTTTTATCAGCAGCATCTGATGAACAAGGTCCAGCTACTGGGGACAAGGTCCTCAGCTTTACCTCTGCTTAATGCGCTGGGACTGGACGTGGCACAGGAGCTCCAGGTGTTCGCTGGCTTTGCAGAGCTATCCAGCCCAAATTAAACTATTAGGAAAACTGCAGTCATTGCAAACAGCCCAGTTTTGTGGTCAAAGCCAGTCAGAGAGAAGTGTTCTGGTTTCCAGAAGTCCTGCATGCTTGTAGATCAACCAAGAGGAATGGGAATGCTTAAAACCTTCTTGCCTCACCACCGCATCTTCCAAATACCCCCAGCTCCTTTAGACTGAAAGCCCAACTACTTGACTTGTCCCAGGCCAGCACCCAAGTCCTGAAGCATCAGCCCCACCATTTAACGTAGACTGGGGGTAGAGAACGGCTTCAAATCAAAGTGCTTTATGGTACGAATGAAGGGGACAACAGGGTGGCACAGACCACATCTCTTGAGGATCCCTTCCAGCCAAACGGGTGCAGCCAGTTGCCTGCAGCATGGTTTGAACACTAAGATGATAACAACCCTTTTAGGCAGAGCAGGGAGCTCACTGTGAGTGTTCCTAATCCCTTTCAAATAAATGCAGGTAAGTTTGAACAGCAGAAGGGCAGCAACTTCCTAATGAAACGCACCATGCAGTAGCACACCAACTTCCCAAAGCACACCATACGCATATTAAAATCCCAGAGCCCTATCAAGAAACAAAAGTACAGAGTTCACCCTCCCTGATGCAAGCTGGGGGTCTCAGATAAAACGTTGAGCTGCACACAGTCGCTCCTGCAGCTGGAAGCTGTTAGAGATTCCCAGCCCCACTGTCTGAGGTTTGGTATCACCCAACCCTGTGGTGTCTTTCATCTCAAAAGCCTAAATCAACTCCAGTCTGAACTGTACAAGCAGGTGGAAGCAATTCCTGCGTCTCACAGAGGAAAAGCAATGCAACATCTGCAATGCTCCCAACACCTAACATCCTAGAAGAGCTGAAGAGGAAAAGAAACATCATCAACAACATTTTAAAGTGCACTCGTTAAAAACAGGCCATCCTCGTTACATTAATGCTCTCCAACATTTGCAAACTACTTCGAGATGATCGGAGTGCAGTGGTTGGAGAAAACGTTCTGCCCGGTGCACGGTCTTAGTGACTTACCTACAGGACTGGTCGAGACCCGTTGGGAAGGTGGCCTGAAACCAGGAGCCTTGGAGTTGTCAGGATGCACGTTTTCCACGTGTCCCAGCACAGAGTTATTCAGAAAGGTAGACTGAACAGTGAACGACGGGTCAGCTGCTGCTCGGGTAGAGAGGGGACAGTCTCCCCATCCTTGGTTGGCTGGCACCTGGTTGCTATCAAAAAGACTACTAAAGTGATTGAAGAGCGTTGCTGGCCCGAAGGTGGGAGGCAATGATTTGTTTGCTGGGTTAATGTGCATCTGAGAACCGTTCATAACGTTCATGGCTGACGAAAGCTGCACTGCAGCAGGTGGACCTTGAGAAGGTGTTAAAGGAACTTGATTCGTAACAAAAATAGACTGAGGATCTTGATGGAGGTTTGCATTTGGTACCACTGAATAGAAAGAACCTCTGGACTGCATCCTATGAGTAACTCGAGGTGCTGGTACAGCTACTTGAGGTAAGTTACTGTTGTCCTGATTATCTGCAACGACCGACCTGGGCGACGCTAAGCTTAACGGAGCAGTTTCTGAGCTGGATGAAAAAGGCATCGACATAGGAGGATTGATCTCTGACATGCTGGTTGGCAGTATTTCATCTTGGGCATTACTTGGAGGCGCAGGGCTGCTCGACGGACGAGTTTCGGTGGCTCCCGAATTGCTGCTAGCTGGCACGCTGCAACTACTCGCAGCCGAAGTGGGCGCAGACGCGTTCGCGGCAGGCTGCTCCGGTGTTGGCACCTTCTCTTTGGGTGCTGAGACCGCCGAGAAAGAGTCCGCTTTAAGCGCAGGATGCTGCGTCTGCGGAGCGTTCGACGGCAGAAACGCCGTGGGCACTTGCCCGTTGTTTGCGGGGGCGGAGGAAGCTGAAGGCTGAGTGCCGCAGGTGCTCGTCACCGTCGAGATCGCGGTGGCCGCGGCGCTCGTCTTGGGAACGCAGGCAAACAGCTGCTTTCTGACCGAGGAGGGAGTCCGATTGCTGGTTACACACAGCGGTTGGGTGGAAGCAGCTACAGAAGAGACAGTAATGGGACAAGTGGAAGTAGCTAATCCAGGAGACTCCGTCTGTAAAATATTCCCATTCTGATTACCTACGCGACTCGAACTATTATGCTTTGGAGAGCTGTTTGTGCTGCCAGGGTTAACTGGTCTCACTGGGAATGGTCCCCAAGTGTTCGGCGAAGGTGAAAAAGTTCCTCCAAATTGGGCCATCGGTAAGCGAGGGTGCCGGATCTGTTGCATAGTTTGGGCAGCCAGCAAGGCAAAATGAGGGTGTGAATAAGCAAGAGGAAGAGACACCGGGAAGGATGAGCGCACGTTCGCCGGGACATTCTTGTTCAGTTTGTTGGTAGGCTGGAAAGTAGATAGTGTTGATGACTGCGAGGTGACGAGGGGCGGCGCTCCCAGAGGGAAGGAGTTCTTGTTCGAAGCAGTCGCAGTGCTGACCCCAGATGAGAAGTTTGCGTGGATCGATTTGGTACTCGACGCAGGTGTTCTGATGTGAGTTTTAGGAATCAAGTCTTCCAGTTCCTTGGCAGGATCTTGAATAAGGGCATTGATGAGTTGCACTGCGTATCGCGTCGACTCCGTACCGCCCCTAGGTTAAATACAAACAAGTTTTACCTTTTGCAAAACGAAACCCCACTTTCAGCAACATTTTATACTGCTCTGCAAGTTTACGGCACGTTTACAGCAACCTGACTGTAAATTTCTTGACTTCTGTGTATCTTAAGGATTCTCTTTGCAGCAGCAGACCTTCAGCATATCTTAGGAGCAGTAACATATGTTCTATTACAGTACAAAGAAACAAAACACGTCCCCATCTTAAAAAGCAAACAAAAGTCTTACTAAATGACACTGGCCTAACTCAAAACATCCATTTCAAACACCGTACCTTATAGTGATCATCCTCTCTCCATTCTTATCTTTCTGCTTATCGACGTCAATGTGGGCACCAGTGACATCTTGAATTGCTGTGATGTTGCACCCACCTCTTCCCATTATTCGGGACACGACAGAAGCTGGGACAGATAATTTCTTTGACCTATATCACAAAGATCACAAATCTGTGAAAGGTATTTGAACTTTAAAGGCACACAAAAATCCCTGGCTGTCTGACAGCTGGATAAAGCAATATTCTTAACTTTCAGAGCAGCGAGTGCTTTTCTGCTGATATTTTCTTCTTTTCCAGCAGCATTTATTCCAGCACTGTTGTAACACAGATTTCTGTGCCTCACACTGCTTTAGAAACACTTTTGGATTTTATCTTGTGTACCTTCAAGCCGAGACAAATCCTTAGCTTATCAACCTAAATTTATATAAACAGCACTGCTTCAAATAGAAAAGCCTGTGGCTTTATTATTTTGATCATTTATAGTGAGGGGAAGGTGGTTTTCCCAGGTTTTCCCAGGTCAGCTCTAACAGCACGTGCATTCACAACCCTTTCAGGGTTCAATCTACCTCTTGCAGACCTGAAGATCTGACAGTTTACTGGGGACACTACACAGCGGTGGATGGCAGAAGTTCAGCTGTGCAGTTCTGTGATCTAAGGATCTGCTGGAAGCCGCTGTGAACACATCTTCAGAAGCAGGCTCACCGTCAGGCCACAGCGCTGTAACCCGTGTGTTCAGTGAAATAAGGCAACCGGGTCCTCAGAGCACGCACCCAACGCTGTTTCATGCTTTCAGCTTCACTCCCTCTCCATCCCCACGGCTACTCTCTCAAGCTGGACATCCCAGTCACTCTCTCTTCAAACCAGAGCTCCCATCACCACCTGACTTTCAAGCTACACCCACATTATTCTCCCAACCCTATCCTGGTCTGCTTCCACTCCACCCCATAAGTGTCACCACCCATGGAGATGTTCCTCCTCCAGGACAACTCACCCCAGCACCCAGACCCTCACCCACCCATCACCCACTGCTGTTTCCCTCCCTACCCACCAAACCTGATGGTTTTTACCTTGAGAAGTGCCCCAAACTGTACCTTTTTGCTCCCGAACAGCAGCGGCCTCCTCTCTGCAGCTGAAACTGCTCAATTGGTGTTGGCTGCAGAGTGTTGCTTGGGGGAGGGTCCTTCAGAACTCGGCCTACTTGCCTGTCAAGGGCAGACAAGATGTTTTCAGTGGTTACTCCTTTGATAGGCATCCCTTCTAGCAAGGGGGTTACTCATGGGGAGAGAGGAGAAGAACTGTTGAGACCAGGAGAGACTTTAGGAGAAGGCATGCAGCCTTGAGTTCATGTGCAAGCAACCATCTGCTGCAGGAGCTTTTCACTGCCATCCGCTCCCACCCCGTTATCTCATCACAGGAACACTCTTGTGCCAAAGAAAACGTTCATGTCATACTAACGTTAAGTTAGTGCAAATTAGGACTGTAATTTGTTTCTGCAGCACTGCCAGAGTAAGGGGGGGTAGATCTCTTCTAAATTAATTTTACAATGGAATAAGCTCGCTGGACATTCTGAATTTGAGAATAATTTGCAAGGTGAAAAGCTCACAGATAGTTTTTAAACACAGAATTTAAGATTTTACCTTCTGACCACTTCTTTCCAGCCTTCTTCTCTTTTCTGGCCTCTTTTTGGACTAGTCAGATTCAGCTTCACGTTTGGAGAGGACAGAGGCAGGGAAACGGGCTTGTAAGTAGTGGACAAGGAATTCGAATGACCTTCACCGTCAAGTCTGGGGACAGAAATGTGCTGGTTATAAATGACAATAAAATTACAGCATCACAGCATACATTTCTGCAGCTTAAAACTACTAGCATGGGCTGTTTTCATTCTTATTTTCTACCTGGTAAAAAAAAAACAAACCAAAGAACTGGGGACTCTCTTCCCACTCCCAGACAAGTGTCTTAGTCTGGCAACAGCCCTCTTGCCTGCTACCCTTTTTGATCCCATAATGTTTGTGTTCTTGTGAAGCTGGGCTCTCGGTCAGCCAGGTGTCCTGTAGATCAACCCCCATACTACCTTCCCTTCTCTTAATGCAGAAAAGGAAAAGAAAAAAGGAAATGGCGGAGGATCAGACTCCTACTACACAAAAATCAGCAAAGACTGCAGATTCAGATGGGATCTAAGCTTTTAGGTTCAAATCACAGAATCCCAGACCGTCAGGGATTGGAAGGGACCTCAAAAGCTCATCCAGTCCAATCCCCCTGCCGGAGCAGGAACACCCAGATGAGGTTACACAGGAAGGCGTCCAGGCGGGTTTTGAATGTCTGCAGAGAAGGAGACTCCACAACCTCTCTGGGCAGCCTGGGCCAGGGCTCTGTCACCCTCACTGAGAAGAAGTTTCTTCTCCAATTGAAGTGGAACCTCCTGTGTTCCAGCTTGTGTCTGTTACCCCTTGTCTTATGACCTATTCAAAACCGGTGTTATAGAAGTTATTAGCTCATTCCCTGGCAACTGAATGATCTTCTGAAGCATTCACCCCTGCACACCCACCAAGATCTTTTGAGCCTCTCACCTCTGGTTCGACAAGGTCAAATCAAACTGGCCATCAACCTGGCAGCTGAAATGCTCAGAGTCATCAACGTCCTCCCTCCTAAAACAGAGAGATTGCAACTCAAATGAGTTAATAATGAAACCATTAAAAAACCAAAAGCTAATGAAACCACTTCTGTGAACAGATTATGAATGAACTTGACTATCATCTAATAGCTATGCACATAAAGCAAACTCAGTCTCTCAAGATTTAGTAATGTACCAGCTGGTATACAGCTTAAGCTACAGAAAATTCACACCAGCGTAGGTAAAATCCTGCGAAACAACAGGGAAGCAACACGGCAGCCTCACCTCGTTGGTGGTTTTGAAGCCGAGGTGCTCGTTTTTTCTTCCTGAGAAGGGATGAGCAGGGAGGCGTAGCGCCGCTCAGAGGAATTGGTATCCATCGTGAAGTTTAGCTCTTGGCTTTTACCTCCACTGCTACTTTCGCTGTTGCAATCTGTGCTGTCCAGGTTATCCGAGTCGCTGTTCCCGCTTGCGCCACCACCTCCTCTTGGCTCTCCGTTGATTTTATTTTTATCTGCTTTTTGCTGTGCTAGAGATATATGCTGATCTGGCAAAATTATCTGCATATTCTGAGGAGTCTCTTTTGTTTTATTTTTCTTGTTTTTCCTATTTGTGCTGGGGGTAGTCACCACATTAGCTCTCTTCTTCCCAAAGGCATTTGTGAAAGTCGTCGAAGTCGCAGAAATCCCAATCGTAGTTGTAGTAGTTGCGCTAGGAGGCTCTATAGGAACTTCTTGCTCCACTGGAAGAAAAGAAGTCGAGGTACAGTTAAACCCTCCAAAATACAGAAATCACTGAAAATGAAATGACCGAAGACTCTACAGCTGAAGCCATGGCTCCTTGCTGAGCTGTCACAATATCTGCACCGCATTCAGCTGCAAATCCTCCCAAGAGCAAAAAGACTTTTGGGAAGAAAGGAGGGGGAAAACAACAGAGTTTTGCCAGGAGCTGTCTGCAAAGGCAAGAACCAGGGTGCATGGTACTCAATGTCACCCTACCAGAGCAGCCAGCTTTGACTCATTCCCCTCACCCAGATGTTTAAAGAAGGTGTCTCCTTAGCTACTCTGCTGACAGAAACATATTGTTCTTTACCTTCATCATCGTTTTCTTCTTCATCATCATCTTCCTGCAGTTCCAGCGTTTCCTTAGGCTTGTTTTCTTCATCTTCTTCCTGCTTTCTTTTCTGTTCCTCTTTCTTCTTCTTTCTCTTTTCCTTTCTTTTCTCCCTTTTAGCCGCAAGAGCTTGTTTTCTGCTCTCCTCTCTTGACTGTGTAGGAGAAAAGGATCCATATTTAAACACTTTCACACAGACTAAGTTATACTTATAATTCAGACCTTCCTTAGAAATCTGGGGGGAAGGAGAAAGGAGAGGAGAGCACGAGGAACTGGAATGGCTTTGTCATATATTGAATCATTAAGCAGAAACGAGGCAGACCTCATAGAGCAACAGGATTACCTGGTCACAAAACCATCTAGGGAACGACAGCAAAATGAAAACCAAAACAGAGGTGTTATAAAAACAGAATTTTACTGGAAAACCAGCAGGATCTCTCTCTGTCTCAGTCCTTTGTCAAAAAACCCTTACATTTAATAACTTCACTAATATTTCTGGAGCATCGTTCACATCTTTGACTCAAAAAGATCTCCCAGAGTGTATTCTAGGAAAACCTGCTATCATTTTAACCACTTTTTTAATACACAGAATTAGTCCAGTCAACTATGCTACACTGCAGCTTTGCACACCAACTGCGTTCAAGTCAGCAACCCGGAAAAGTTAATAAACTAGTGTGGGACTTGTCCAAAACTTGTGTCATTAATGAAATGTTGTACGAATTGTTCGTCCACACATTATCTGTGCTGAAATAACGCAAGAGAGCTACTACCTAAGGTAACTACTGCCAAGTCCAAGCTTGCCTAAAAAGGACCACGAGGGGCTGAAGGAAGAGTCAGTCCTAATTTACCACCCTCAGTGCACACTTCACTTTTTGTATATGAAAGAAAGAAAAGCACAGGCAGTCAACAGCATTAAGAACCATGGTCCCAAGAAGCACCAACAGGCAATACAGCCTGTAGATTAATCCACAGTTCAGACTGTTATGCTACACACCAGCAATTCTCTACTCACTTTTTCCAGGTCTAGCTCCTTCAGCAGTATGGTCGCGTTCTTGTTTGCTTCTGCAGCCTGCTGGTCTTTAGCTTTCACAATTGTCTCCACACACTGGTGACACTTTTTCAACAGGTCCTGCAACGCAAAATTGTCTCCACAATAAACTAAAATTGAGGAGTGAGGCTTGCTCTACAAACATGAGATCAGCTTCCCTGTATTCATCAACATACAAACTGTTTCAACAGAACAGGCTTCCAAATGCTGATTTATTATTAAGTTTTGTATTAAAGAGGAGACATGTACAAAACTCCGAATAAAATGTACATGAGCAAACATGTACATCCAGTTTTTGAATAATTAAGAATTTCTCATGTATATTTGGAAAGGGCGAGTGTCAGGAGGAAGGAGCCAGGCTCTGCTCTGGGATGGCCAATGCCAGGACAAGGGGCAATGGTCCCAAGCTGGAGCGCAGGAGGTTCAAGCTGAAGATGAGGCCAAACTTTGTGAGTGTGAGGGTTCTGGAGCATGGCCCAGGCTGCCCAGAGAGGTTGTGGAGTCTCCTTGTGTGGAGACACCCAAAGCCCTGGCCGTGTTCCTGTGTGACTGCTCTGGTGATCCTGCTCTGGCAGGGGCTGGACTTGGGGAGCTTTCCAGGTCCCTTCCAACTCCTCGGATTCTGTGATTCTGTGTGATTCTGTCATTTGCACTGAAGATAAGGGACAGGGTCTTTTCCCAAAGTTAAGCTCACCTTGTCAGTTATCGTCGCTATGTATCGCATGCACTCAATGTCCGAAGGAAACTGGTTAACTTCTTTCACCAGGAACTGAACTACTTTCACGTGCCCCTAGAATAGCAAAGAAAACCCTTATCTTTTGTATTCAGCTGACCACACAAAGTGTCCCACTCAACAGCAAATTAGGAACGGACCAGGAGAAGTGCAAAGGAATGAGGACAGCTATTACAGACTGGTAGTTGTTAATCTCAAAAGCAGGACTAAAACAAGCAGCATAATCTGCAGAAGTTTAGAGGGGACTACAGTAACCTCAAGACAGTGAAACTTCAAACAGTGAAAGATTTTGGACAGTGTATAATGGGAAATAATAAAGTTAACGTACTTTATGGACTAAAGCTTTTCGCCTCTCAAAAGTTAGATCTGTGTGAAGTACACACATTACGATTACTTTAAAGCCAGCATTTTAATCAAAACAACAATTTTGCTGCGTTGTATTTGATTCTTCCAAAACTAAGCATCCAGATTTAAGACTGAGAAGTTCTGTTTTGAAAACGTTTAGCATTGAAACATAAAATTAAGTTGAGTCTCCTACCTTGCGAAACGCTGACATAAGAGGTGTAATTTTGCGATTATCTGCAGCATCCACATCTGCTCCCGCTTGCACGAGCAACTGAACCACGTCGTAGTGACCACCATTAGCTGCCAACCACAGAGGCGTGTTTCCTTTCTTGTTACGAACATCAATATGTGCTCCTCTAAAAAAGTACAAGTGTACAAGTGAAGGTGGAAGTCAGGAAGTAAAATCACAGAGTACAATTTGATATATAACTAATTACCGAAATCTAGTGGGTAGACAGACAAATTCCATCCCAGAAATCTGTTGTTTAAGTTAAAACGTAGCGACATAGGGATTATTTAAACTTCTCTTACAGAAATGGAGCCAACTGCACCACAGCCATGCAACCAACAACCACAGGTCCTTCAATTACCATTAATGTGGTGATTACCCACAGGACAAAGCAGCCCCTTGAGAGTTTAGCTGTGCATAGGTTTACGCTTGAAGAGTTCAAGAGCTGCTTCCAGGCTTTGCCACCCAAGCGACGGCAGGGAAATGCTCATGTGGGAATTGCTGGATTAATACACAGCCAACAGAGCTGCCAAGCCAGAGACTGTTTTCTTACCTCTGATCCCAGCTGCCTGCTCAGCTTAATTAACACCAGAGTAGCAGGATACTCCAGGGTAACACCGGAGAGTAGGGAACAGATACAACGTCCTACTTGCAAAGCTTCCCATTCCCTTTGCTCTCAGATGGAGGCGGCAATGCAAACAAGGGCACCCTTGGCATAGAAGAATACAGCCACAAATGTGCTGCTAATGAGAAGAAGTAATTTACCGATTAATCAGGAGCTCACAGAACTTGTAGTGACCCTTGTCCGCTGCGATTGTTAAAGCTGTATCTCTTGAGGAAGGCACAGGTGGAGCATTAACATCTGCTCCTTTATCAAGAAGGACCCTTCCAACCTCTGCGTATCCTCCTGAAGCTGCTTCCATCAGAGGCGTGAGACCAGTCTGTGCCAAGAGAAGAAGTTACACTGTGAAACGTGTACAATGTACTCTGGATAACACATACAGGATTTCTACATGGGGAAGTCAGATTTATTTAGCTGCTTGTATTTAGTTTAGGAGCTTAACCTCAAGAAGTCCTTTTCTCAAAAAAAGAAAAAAAACACAAACAAAAAACCCCCAAAAAAACCCAAATACTCTTGGGCTTTGATTTCTACGAACCCAGGCGAGCTGTGGGCTAAGTACCACCAGATACCTGTCTCAACAGCAAAACCCAAGTTTACAGCAGGATCCCTAAAACAGAGGTTGGAACAGATCCAAACAAAGACACAAAAAAGTGCTTCTACAAAAACATCCAGAAACTGGCTTTACAGCTTTTCTCCGGCCTCCCTTCGCACTGACACTGATCTGGGCCCAACTCAGTTGCCAGGCTAGACTGTTAAATAAACTTACACCAGCTGCTAACATGCCCGACTGACCATTTGAGAGCTGGCTTTTATCCATATCCCCTTTTCTCCAGCCACAGTCATTCCAGAAGCAGGCGGGGTAGACAGACACAGCAATTATTTCAGCAGCCTTAGGAGTTACCAAAAATTCCTTTGTGCTGGGGAAATCAGTCTGGCTGTCTACACAAGCTTTAAGCTTGCTTTATGGCAGGAGACACAAAGCTGTCCCAGAGCACCAAAGGATGGGACCTGTGGAGCATTTCAGAGGCACAGAAAGTCACAGCACTGAAGCCACGGGTTCTACAGCAAAAGCTTTACAAAGTTTGACTGCGCTACTGCTGTTGTAGACAAGAAATCTGCTCTATATGAGAATCGCTACAAGCAACACTACTCCTCTTCCTGTCTTGACTTCACTAGTATGTAAAAATACACACATCTATCTGTTCTGTTAATGATTATCATGGCAAGCTTAAGCCTGAAAAGTTTCTCAGCACTCCAGAACAGGAGTCAATACAAGTTTCATTACGACCTCAAAAAGACCAGTCAGCTTTTCTCTAATGCAAAAAAAATAATCATCATTGATGCTTTTGTTTATTTTCTTTTTAAACTAACTTATTTCAGAACATTTAATAAGTCCTCTCAGCCCAATGAGGCTCAAAGTAACAGGAAAAACGTGAAGAACCTTGACAACTCAGAGCAGTCGCCTGTTAGAAGCGATAAGGAAAGGTTATTCACAGCCTTACCTTCGCCCTGTGCTCGACGTTGGCCTTCCTGTCCAGAAGCAGACTGACCACCTCTGCTCGGCCCTGGAAGCAGGCCAGGGTGAGGGCTGTGTTCCGGTTGGTCTCAATTTGGGCGTTAATATCAGACCCCATATCGAGCAACAGCTTCACGGCGGGGACGGGG